TCAACTAGTGTGTGTGTGTGTGTGTGTGTGTGTTTCAGTGTGACAATGGCTGGTATGGAATAGATTGCAGCATTCCATCTGTTACATCTTCTATAAGAGAGTGGCCCAATTGGCGTCGTCCTGCTTGGGTTGATGTTCCTGAAAGTCTTCATTTTGAAGGAAGAGCAATAAACTTTAATGCCGTGGTGGAAAAGAAAAGGCCTCTCATATATGTCTATGATTTGCCTCCAGAGTTCAACAGCCTGCTCCTTGAGGTTAGGATTCTCTGAGCATCACTCTTTTTTACGTCCCAAGACCAAGCCTTTCATATAATTGTTGTTTATTTATTTTCTTTGCCTTTTATAGGGGCGACATTTTAAGTTTGAATGTGTAAATAGGATTTATGATGAATCTAATGCTACGATATGGACAGATCAATTGTACGGTGCCCAGGTAATTCATAATTTTGGATCATATTTAAAGCATTTCAGTTAGTGAATTTATATTTATAATGTTTTGCAATATATCATCTGAGTGAGACGTTGCTTATCCACAGGTAGCACTTTATGAGAGTATCTTAGCTAGTCCTCATAGAACTTTGAATGGTGAAGAAGCAGATTTTTTCTTTGTTCCTGTTCTTGATTCATGTATCATAACTCGTGCTGATGATGCCCCTCACTTGAGTCTGCAGGTATATTTTTTCAGCTGTTGTCTAATTTTACAGTATATATCTATCTGTAATTTATTCCTTCATGCAAAGCATGTGTGTGAGACAGAATGCAATGAATGCGCCAGCATAGTGGTGCCTGTGCATGTTAACGGTTGTTTAAAAGCTTTAATGAATTGCATGTTTGTGGCAATTACATGATAGTCACTTTCCAGATATTTATTGCATGATGAGGATGAATTTGTTTTCATTTATTTACATGAGTAGTAAAACAAAAATTCATTACATTTGATTTTAATATTCTTTTTCACCTGTTAAGAACTGCAACTTATGCTGTTGGATAAAGTAAGAACAAAAGTACTTCTGATTTTTCCTGCATTTTGTTTTATAATCTTCAGGGACATAGGGGGTTGAGAAGCTCTCTTACATTGGAATATTATAAGAAAGCACACGACCACATTGCCCAAAAATATCCTTATTGGAACCGCTCTTCAGGAAGGGACCACATCTGGGTATGAGTAACAGAAATAATCTTTCCCATCGTTGAATAGAATATAAGAAAGTAACCCTAACCTAGTATTTTCTGGTGACAAACGTATGCTAATGATGTCACTTTTATATGTTAAGGCAGTTTTTTTCATGGGATGAAGGTGCTTGCTATGCCCCCAAGGAGATATGGAACAGCATGATGATAGTTCACTGGGGAAACACAAATGTAAAGCATAACCACTCAACTACAGCTTATTGGGCTGACAACTGGGACAAAATCCATCCAAATAGGAGGGGAAATCATTCATGTTTTGATCCTCACAAAGATCTTGTGCTTCCTGCTTGGAAAGTGCCTGATGCTGGTGCATTGACTTCCAAACTGTGGGCTCGGTAATTTTTTTTTTATTCGAAGGAACTAATCATTGCCTTAATCATTTGCTTTATTTTTCAATATAATCTTAAATATGCAGTCCCTACAAAATTTCATGTTCATGAGTAACAATGCAGCCATGTTATGATTTGTTTTCAGGCCCCATGAGATGCGAAAGACACTGTTCTACTTTAACGGGAATTTAGGACCAGCTTATCCTAAGGGAAGACCAGAGGATTCGTAAGTTTACTGACAAACTGTTTTGGAATCTCTTAGAAGATCACCGGAACAAGGCAGCATCAAATTTACTAATTTAGTGTTAACAGCATTTCCCGTTGCCCCTCATTAGTAAAATTGACATCCTCTTAGTTGATTCTCCACAGGACATTTTGATACATACTTTCCTGTATAATAAATTCCCAAAGATGCAATTCTGAGTTTCTTGGAAATGATGCAGGTATAGCATGGGCATCAGACAGAAACTGGCAGAAGAGTTTGGATCAACCCCTAACAAGAAAGGTCAGCTTGGGAGACAGCATGCCGAAGATGTTACTGTGACCCCATTGCGTTCTGACAATTATCATATGGATCTAGGAAGCTCTATTTTCTGTGGGGTTTTGCCTGGAGATGGTTGGAGTGGACGCATGGAAGACAGTATTATGCAAGGATGCATTCCTGTGGTAATTCAGGTAATAGGTTATACTCTTCTGTTTTCTTGAGTTTCTCTTGGAACATCAACGGCATTGGTTACAAAATAGTTTTGTTAAACTTGTCATTAATTGCAAGTTTTTTTCGGCTTTTTTTTTTTTAATTTTAATCTTACTGGCTTGTTACTGCTGAAGGAATTAAATTGCAACACTGAGTATCTCAGTGCCAGCCTGTCATCCAGTTTTAAGAATATCAGAACTCAGAAAATTTTAAGCTTGTCCTTATTTATTTATTTTGAACCAAAGGGGTACTTACTTTTTTGTCAACGCTGTTCGCAAATAAAAAGGGAATTAGGGTATGAAGAGGGGGTAGGGGATTCATTAGAAACTGAAGTAGCTTGTCTAATTAAGCTTCGTCATTTGTCATAAAACCTGTTTTTTGTTTAGAGTTAATAACTAAATGACTGAAAATATCAAATGCTTGCATGCATTTGACCATTTTCCCACTTGATCTGTAGGATGGTATTTTCTTACCGTATGAGAATTTCCTCAACTATGCCAGCTTTGCTGTTCGGATATCTGAAGATGAAATCCCAAACTTGATAAAGATTCTTCGGGTAACCTATCCACTGTCTTTCTAGATTTTCATGAATAGACAATTTAAATCAATAATTTCACATTAAATTGACATCCTCCACCAGATTTCTGATTTTTTTGCGGTCTCTTGCATCCTTTAGGGATTTAATGATACAGAAATAAAATTCAAGCTGGAAAACGTTCAGAAAATCTGGCAGAGATTCTTGTATCGTGACTCTGTTATGCTTGAAGCTGAAAGGCAAAAAACTACTTTTGGGCATGCTAGTGATTGGGCAGTTGAATTCTCAAGCTTGATGGAAGATGATGCCTTCACCACATTCATACAGGTACTTACCTAACTTGGCCATATAACATTGATAAATGTTGCACCTTTCTGCAAGGAGTTTGTCTCTAGATTTCAGGAAAGTCCAACCTTATATTCAGGCTGATATGACATGACAAAACCAATGACATTGGATTTCAATGTTATACCAAGACAACTTTGAATTTGAGCCTAAATAGAAAGGTTGGCTATATGATAGACAGAGCAGCAAGAAGTCCTCTAGATCTCTGTGGTCGTTTCTATTTTTTAGGCTTACTTTTCTTAGTTGAAAATGTGAGGCTTATTCGAGAAATTACAACTTTATGGGCAACAAAGTGGAAATGATTTTACTAATGGAAATCATAAACATGTTTGTCTCCACATTTTATCTGTTGACCCCCGTGTTTTTTTGTTTGTTTTAATGAAGGTTTTGCATTACAAGTTACACAACGACCCTTGGAGGCAGCAAGTCCACCTTAACAAGAAGTATGGATTGCCTAAGCAGTGCGTGGCAAACGCCAATGATGGAACTTGATTGATTTAAATGTTATTTGGAAGACCAGATGATCAAGAATCTTTCAGAAGAAGATGAGAATTGGATGGCCTTTCTGATTTATCTGAGGAGTTGAGATTCAAAAGATTTTCTCGGCATGTGTAGAACTGGGTCAAAGTGAAGATTCTATTTAGTACATTAGGATAATAGGATCTCCCATATGAATAATATATCCAGCCAAGGTGGACAAATATGATTCTTTTTCCCCTTTCACATAAATATTTGCACGTAAAGTGCATTCTCGTCCTTGTTTTATAGCTGTCTTATTTGTAGGCCTTTGTGCCCCGGAATGTAAAGACTGTCGATTACAAAACCTAATTGGTAAAATTGAGAAGAGAAAGAACATCACAGATTTGTTTTCATTATCATACTTAATTCCAAGGTCCAGTCAACGAGTGGTCAACGACGGCGTTTCGATTTCTGCCCTTCTCTTTTTTCAACCCTTCGTTGTCGTTGGTGGCTGAAGCGAGATGTTTTATTCTGCCTTTTGCTTCTGTTTTGTACTGTTTTCACTTCTTGTCCCAGTTCTGGAGCACAACTATGCTCCTTTCAGCGTGCCGTTCTGCAGTATTATGTTTCATTTTTTTAATGACATGGAATAAAATCCCTTGCCATAAAAATGGAATTAAATATATATTATTTCATTGAATAGATAGGAGTTTAAAAATAACTGAGATCAAATAATATATATATATATATATATATATAATTAGACTTTTTAGTTTATATATAGCATATTGTATCTTTTTTTCGTGAAGCATAAGAAGTATATTGTAAATAAATAAGCGTTTGTTTCCCAATATTTTATTCCCTCTCAAGCCCTGTTATATTTGATGGAAGCAAAAGCAATTGAAAACTGAAAAAGAAAACAGATAACATGTCAATGGATATGTCTTCTCCATTCGATATTTCTTTGCCAAAGGAGAGGCTATGCCTATTTTCATGTTACATGGAACCGGATTCCGTCTTAAAATTGATGGAATGTGACCAAATGAAAATAATATTCTTCAGTTGGATAAATTTTTCATTTATTCACCAAATTACGAAGTTTTAAACAAGGGATCTAATTAAATGAAAAAAAAAACGGATTTAACTTGTTTTAAATAAGTTTTAGAGTTAGGATTTTGTAAAAGTAAAAATCATATTAAAAAACTATCTACATTGATCTTAACAATCTTCGAATTTAATTTAATAATATCAAATATCATATAATGGTATATTAACGACAAAGAAGTTTTAAATAAATCCCGCGGCATAACCAATGACTTCTAAATAATTTTAGAACTAGGTAATAATTTAAAATTTTAAAACTGTATTATTCATAATTTACAAATACCGTGGCTCAATGTTTCAGCGTGTTTGACCTTCCTTCTTCAGAACGAGTACACACTGTACACCGCAGGCCCTCATGGAATGAGAATCTAATGCAAGGGCCTCACTTTTTCTGCGTGTCTTGACTTCCCCTTTCTTAAGCCCCAACCCAATTGTGATCCCAGTCTCTGCCTTTTCTGCCTCAACTGGCCGCAATGAGCCCCTCATCTCTCGCCCTTCATTCCCACTCCATCTTCACGCCTCGAACGGGGTTCGTAGTCCATTGCAGGCCACTTCTTCCTTGCCAAAGTGTCGTTTGCTCTGCCAAGCCAGCGGTTTCCTCCACTTCCAACCTCATCGCGTCTGATCTCTCCACCATTCATTCTGTTGATCGAATCGGGTCCCTGAGTCAGGTATCGGGTGTTTTGGGTTGCCAGTGGGGCGATGAAGGCAAAGGGAAACTTGTTGACATCTTAGCTCAGCACTTCGACATCGTTGCTCGTTGCCAGGTTTGATTTTACAACATTCTGACGGTCGTTCTGCTATAAAGTTTCATACTTTGCCACATTTTGTTTACCGGAATTAGTATTTGATATTGCGAGTGTTATTGTAGTGATAAGCAAATGGTTCGGTTCCATTCCCTGGAAAGTGCATGCATTTAGAAGTTAATGCATTCTTGTGAGTGTTATGAATTCCCGAGATGTTGCAAATTGGTTGATTCGGGCACATACTGATTGATGGATTTGCTTACGAGGTTTTAGCCTTGTTATATTTTTCATTGGTTCTCAACTTAAGTGTCTGTTTTTTTTTTTTTTTTTAACTCTTACTAGCTTCTGCTCCCATTTTCCTGTTTTAAAATCGTGCATTATTTTGTCCTGATAATTTTTCTCTATTGCAATTAATCAGGGTGGGGCTAATGCTGGGCACACCATATATAATGCAGAAGGAAAAAAGTTTGCTCTTCATCTTGTTCCTTCTGGTATCCTCAACGAGGATACTCTGTGTGTTATTGGAAATGGGGTTGTGGTGCATTTGCCGGGGCTTTTCAAAGAAATTGATGAACTCGAGTCAAATGGAGTCTCTTGTGAAGGAAGGATTTTGATATCTGATCGCGCTCACCTGCTTTTTGATTTCCACCAAGAAGTGGACGGACTGAGAGAAGCTGAGCTTGCTAAATCTTTTATTGGCACTACCAAGAGAGGAATTGGACCTTGCTATTCCAGCAAGGTTATCCGTAATGGCATTAGAGTCTGTGATTTGAGACATATGGATACTTTTTCTCTGAAACTTGACGATCTTTTGCTAGATGCTGCATTAAGATTCAAGGATTTCAATTATAGTCTAGACATGCTTATGGGTGAAGTTGAAAAGTACAAGAGGTATGCTGAGAGATTGGAACCCTTTATTGCTGATACTGTGCATGTCATGAATGAAGCTATCTTACAAAAGAAGAATATTTTGGTTGAAGGAGGTCAAGCAACCATGTTGGACGTTGATTTTGGTACTTATCCCTTTGTGACTTCATCAAGCCCATCTGCAGGTGGAATCTGCACTGGTCTTGGTATTGCTCCAAAAGTTGTTGGTGATTTAATTGGAGTGGTATGTATATACATATTTATCATTCTTTTCTTCACTGTAGTTGGTGGTAATTTTTTTTTCTTAATTTAGTAGTGTTGATAATTGACAAACATGCAACTTTTTTTTAGTTGAGAAACTTTGTGTCGTTCTGTTCCTTTTCATTATAATGCTAATCTAATTTAATGCTGATCATATAAACAAGCTTGACATGGGTGTGGTAGTTTCTTAATTTCATTTTTGGCTATGCAGGTAAAAGCATACACAACTAGGGTAGGTTCTGGTCCTTTTCCTACAGAAATCCTTGGTCAAGATGGTGATCTCCTTAGAAATGCTGGGCATGAGTTTGGCACCACAACTGGCCGCCCTCGACGGTGTGGTTGGCTTGACATTGTTGCATTAAGATATAGCTGCCAGATCAATGGTTTCTCATCACTAAATCTCACTAAGCTCGATGTCTTATCTGATCTTGCTGAAATCAAGCTGGTAGTCTCTTATAAACATGCAGATGGCACGCCAATCAAATTATTTCCTTCAGACCTTCAAGCTCTTGAACAATTGCAGGTAAAGTTTCCATGTTCATCCCCCTAGCTCATAGAACTGAGTGCTTTTTATTTGGTGTTGTCATTAATCTAAAAGCCAAATGTGAAATAGTGAGTTTACAACAGCTCGAGTGCATTGATTGCTTGGGAATTATGTATTTCCTCACCAACTTGTTATGGGTGTTTCTAGGTGGAATATGAATCGCTCCCTGGATGGAAGAGTGACATTTCTTCCATTAGAAACTATTCTGAGCTTCCGAAAGCTGCTCGCAATTATGTGGAAAGGATAGAAGAACTTGTTGGCGTGCCTATTCACTACATTGGTGTTGGGCCAGGACGTGATGCCCTTATATTCAAATAAGTTGATGCTGATTAGTCTCAAGTTAAGCCTTTGAAGTTAGAATTATATATTCCCGCTAACTTAAATTTGGATGAATACAAATGTGTAGTAGTGAGGGTTACCTTACTAATTTTGTTAGTGTTCCCTGCGTTGGCATTGCTGAGTATTGACACTACCCTATATGTTTCGGCTTTGGAATAAGACGGGGTATGCCAGCCATGGTGTCGCGCCAGTCTTTTTTTGGACCTTGATCACTCGAGTCTGTCACATGCAATGGAGAATGACCTTATTGTCTTTTTGGGACTGAAACAGTTCATGTGGTTGCTTTCATCTGAAGTTCTTGGTTTCTTGTTTGTATGTATTATAAAATTGTATCTTTTAATTGTTTTAAAATGTTTTTAAAATGATGTGACAACTAAAAAACATTCAGAAATTTAATTGAGGTCATTTTTTTGCAAGTATTTTTTTTTAAATAAATACACGCAATGTTTTGAAATGATACTTATTTGAGTGAGGACAACTTTACTTAAATTTTTCCCTTTTGATTGCATATTTTGAGTAGAACTTAGATTAATTGACATTTTGACTCCCCTGATCCCTGTTACAGTCTTACAGGCATGGAGAAAGATTTTTTTTGTTTGTCAAAAAATAAATGTTTTTGTGAATTAAATTATTTCGTCTTGCCTTTATTAGCCTGCCGTAAAATTTTGATATTAGAGTGCCATGATCCGATCGGGATTGTGACGGGTTCGGTTCAATTTCAATACATTCTCTTGTTATATTTCTCTCGCTCATTGATATTTCACTATAAAAATAAATGTTACCCTCATAGTTAATAATATTTCACAAAGTTTGGTTGAAGATAGAATGCAATAGCATCGGCAATTTATTCAACGGATCTTCTTGTTGTTATTGTATAAATATATTGTTACCAAAATATCAAGAATTTATGGCTTCATCGGAAAAAGAAGAAGAAATCATTCAAACTTTATTTAATGATACTTTGAGCGAGAAGCGGGTAATTTTGTAAAGAAGAGTATATGCAAATGGATTTGCTAAAAAAGTACATGCAAACGGGTTGGTGTATTTTGCTGAGAATGAATCCCCAGAACAGCAAGTAGAAGTTTGGAAGTCTCCTCTTAATTATTGTGGAATTCGTGTATAATTAATATAAACAGAGACGCAGAAGGGCAAGCCCCACCAAATTTCATCGTGCCAAACGTTCAGCTAATCCGCTAAGTTTCGCTGGCACTCGCAGCCCCTTCTGGTTCTACTATCCTTACTCGAGCAGACGTGCGGAACTGCAGTAGCATCGGCAATGGAGAGAGGAAACGCTAAGAAGAAAGCATCAACTCTGTCTTTGGAACAATTCATCTCAATCATGGCCCCTCTTATTGATTTGGAAAAGGTTCTGACCTTCTCTTCGCTCTCCAATTGAATCTCAATCTAACACGTACTCTTATGTTTCATAGGTTCCTTCCCAATGCCAGACGGGGCTCTCTTTGCCTATTTTATTAATCATCTTAGACTATCTTAGTTGTGTTGGTGCTTGAATATTATGGCACAGCGTACACTGTAGACTCCTCAAAAGCTGCAATTATAGTTTTGACCTTTCAGATGCCTGCTTCCATATTCTTCCATCTACGCATCTTGAAATACGTGTTTCGGCCCTGTGTTTATACAATCTAATTGCAATTGAACATCCGATAATATGTATCAGAACAAAGAATAAGATTGTGGCTTTTTAAAGATTTTTTTTTTTTTTGGTATCACTTCAACGCAGTAATGCTCCTCCTCGTTTTCTTTTTCGCTTCTTTTCTTGTTTATGGCTTAGGAAGCTGAGATATCAAGCTCAATCACTTCAGGCGCTTCGAGAAGTTTGGATACTGCTCAAAAAAGGGGCTCGACAATCCTCAATTTGAAATGTGTCGATGTCCAGGTTAATTGCTTCTCGGTTAATCCTTTTATTTTGAAACTCGCATCCTTGAGTTACCAAAAAGTTTGTTGATTTGAAAATGGAGGCATGCCAGAGGGCAAACTAAGTACAATATACATACACATACATGCACATATAGAAAAGAATGAAAAAGAAAAATTAGCGTCTCATATGGATTGTACTTTATCTTTCCTCATTTCTGTGTTGAGATCTTAAGAGGACCAAGGACAAGGAGAAAATGTTACTGGTTAAATTAGTAAAAATTGGAGCATCAATTCATCCAGTAGTTGTTCACTAGGTTTTTGTTCTGATAATAGACAGGGCTTATGGGGAAATCTCTTATTGAGTTCCAGTCTACCAAGGGAGATGTTCTTCCTGCACACAAGGTAAAGAACTGATAACGCCTGATGACTTACCTTTATATTTTTATTATAATCTAGTTTCTTTTTGTTAGTCTCATGGATTAAAGAGGTAGTGTGCTTTTAGTATGGTATGAATCTGCTCTTATGGTACTTTTTTACCCTCTCTTGGCAAATCTTCTATTCTACCACATCCTTGTATTTACCTGACTTTCTGTTATAATCAGTACGTATAGTTGCATCAAGTATGATGTGACTGCTATCCATGACAAGTTTACAGGAATGCCATAACTTAATAAGACTGACAATGACTTTTTGTCAGTCCGTCTATTGATTGAATCCTTTCGCTACTACTTCCAGGAGCTAATGATTTCTTAACATTTACAGTTCAGTGCACATGACGTTGTTGTTTTAAAACTCAGCAAGGCTGATTTAGGTTCCCCTGCTTTTGGACAAGGTGTAGTTTACCGCTTAAAGGTAGCTCTGATCACTTCAATTTATGAAAAGGAAATTGTTGCCCTGTTGTTAGCTGCAGATGATCTCGCTATTGGGCATTACTTACAATTGCAGGCTTGATATGTGTTTTTATAGGACTCTTCAATAACAGTTGCTTTTGATGATATACCAGAAGATGGTTTAAATAGTCCCCTCAGGCTGGAGAAAGTGGCAAATGAGGTACCATGATAACTTTTGAAAGTTTGGGAGCTTTTTATATTTCTATTATCTAGAATCATTATGCTATTTAACTAAAAATAAAGCTAATTCTTGACTGACTTCAGTTTTTTGCAATTCCTTCTCATGGATTTTTGGACCAACAAATTTTCACCATCATCTTAAAATTATTAATTGAAATTTTTGTAACTTTTCAAATTAAAAATGCCAAATCAGGATACTAATATTAACTTTTTTGCTCTACATTTTGATTGAATGACTTATTCTCCTCTTCCTTATAAGCATTTTTCCCTGTAACTTCTTGTTTATTTTGTGTTTTTCTAGCTCCTAGTTACATTGCTGCAGATATTTATTGACCATGCAGGTGACATACCGTAGGATGAAGGATGCATTGATACAGTTGAGTAAAGGAGTGCACAAGGGTCCTGCTGCTGATCTAATTCCTGTCTTGTTTGGAGAGAGGCCACCAACAGTATCCAAGAGGGATGTGTCATTCACTCCATTTAACCCCAACCTTGATCACTCTCAGGTGTGGAAGCCTAATTTCTTGCACTATCACTTTATTTGCTTTCTTTCAAATAGTTTTCTTATCTTCAGAATTATTTATCATCATTTTTTTTTGGTTGGATCTTGGGTTTCATACCTTATAAATTGGAGACAGTCATGTCCACTGCTAAGAAAAACTTAAAACAAATATCAGTTGGATCTCTTCCATGGAGAGACCAAAGATGTTGGTTTTCCATTGAATCAGTGATGGTCAATGATTGAATTTTAACCCCCCGCCCAAATCTAATGCCCTAACAACAAGCTTTATTTTACTAAGTGGGGCTGGCATCACAGGTCACACTTTGCCATTGTGTTCTATCAACCCCCAAGCCCCCCTCCCCCTAAAAAACAAGAATTTCAAAATTTCATACTTGTGGGTGGGTTGGTTTTTTTTTTTTTTTTTTTGTGGGGGGGGGGGAGGGGCACTGGCACATTGCTGTTTTCATTATATATGATCTATCTCTCAAGATTATCGCCCAATGTTGAGTTGAACATTTATCTCTGCATAATTAAGCTGATATAAAGAGCAGCACACATTTCTATGAGGTTCTTTAATATAGTTTGTTGAAAGTTAGAGGAGTTAGCAATTTTCAAGAACAAATGCAGTATGATCACAAGGTGGATAGGAAAACAATCAAAACTAAGAATAAAGAAATGGTCAAGCAACTCGTTAATTTTCCTCCTATAATTACTCAGGAATCGAGGAGAGAAGCAAAAACTGTTATTGGGAAGACTATCGCACATGACATAGAGCTCCTTAAACATTCTAAATACTAAGCACATGGTTTCAGTCTATTGCAGATCTTACAAGTGATAATAGATTGGTTATAGGAAAGAGCCCAATTGACACAGTATATATGGTGTTTATGGGTAAACACATGTCTGCTTATGCTCACAAAATTATGTATTTCTGAATTTTCAAAGAAAGATGCAATCTCAAAGGCCTTATCGTCAAAGGATGTATTTCTGCTCCATGGGCCTCCTGGAACAGGAAAAACGACCACAGTGGTGGAAATCATATTACAAGAAGTGAAGCGTGGATCAAAAATTCTTGTTTGCGCTGCCTCAAATATTGCTGTTGACAACATTGTTGAGCGACTTGTTCCACGTAGGTAATGATTATTTATCTCTTTGATTTTATTGATTGGATGGTTTTAACTTAATGTGTTTTATGGTAGGACTCTTCGGGCAATAGGTGGCTTACATTGGATGACATCAAATATTAAATGACAAATTCCAATTAAAGGAGAAAGTTAATTATTAAGATTCAAATTTATTAATATAATATGCCTTATGTCCTTCCCAACAACTTGATGAACAAAAGCTATGCTGTAAAACTTTGATACATTTTTCCCCTTTTACTTTTCTATTTATTCTTTGTTCTTTTTGTTCATTCTGGGGTTCATTATCCAACTGGTCTGTGATATGTAATTGTAAATAAGAAAAGAATTAAGAATTAGTTACTGTTACAGTTAGTTAGGATTTGGATATTTTTCTAGTATTGGGAGGATTCAGATAGGATTTAATTATAGTAGTATGATTTGGATAGATTAGGATATCTAGAGAATATTTGGATGGATTAGGATATTTAGATAATACCTATAAATATGAGTAAAAAAAAAAGCCTGATTATTTGTATTTGACTTTATATAAGAATTGTATATTCAGATTTTCTCTTTTTCTCAATCTCAGTTTTTCGTTATCTTTCTCCTTCCCTCTCTTTCTCAATCCATAACAGTATGTTTCAACAAATGCGTTGATTTTGAATACAAGTACTCATTCCTGTTTCGTTGTCT